GTATGTATATATATATATATATATATATATATATATATATATATATATACACACATTTTAGTCGACAATAAGTACACACAATTTAGTCACGTTAACTTTTTTGTCAATTTGAAAAACCACCACAAGATGGCAGCACGTGTTCATACATGTGAAGCAAGTTTTATGAAACGCCGGTTAGAGGGATTGTTCCTCTCCCAGCTGAGGGCAGTGATGAGCCCTGTTTGAGAGAGCTATATTTGTTCTGGACTTTTGCTGCATAGATTTTGTACTCTTACTCAGTCCACAATAACTTAAACCCCATTTAAATGTGTGCAGAGTATATGTGTGCATTTAAATGTGTGCATAACTATACTGTATATGCTTTACAACGTTCTTATATATGTAAAAATCTTATAGGCTGAATCCTATATGTGTGTGTGTGTGTGTGTGTGTGTATAAACATAAATGAAAATGCATGTGTGCTTATTAGTATGCTCAGGATTTGCAGAACAGAGTATAACGATACATTTGAAAACATCACTTTTCCAAAATTACCTATTAATATGTGCATCATCATACTAAATAAGGACGTTACGTTAGATGCGAGATGTTAATCCAGCTATCTCAACCTGTATTTACTGAGGGCTTCCCAAATTAAAACACTTTTAGTATTGTTTACTGACTTTAGTTGATACTATCGCTTAGGCCACTCAAACTCTTGTGCTCACTAGTGTGATTGAATGTGTAATTATTTTTATAGGTCTTTTGGAATGTCAGACCGTTGTTGCAAATGGCATTTGTCCAGGTCAGTTTTCAGTGAATGGTACTACTGGATTTAGTACGCTGAAAAACAATGATTTTTACAACTGGAATTGAGATTTTACTTAGTCACTGTTTTTATTTGATAAAGAATAGTCGATTAGACTATTAGTAATAATTTGAAATAATAAAACGTTTTCTATATTATTATTATTAGTAGTAGTATTATTGTGAAAGAGTTAAAAAGCAAGAGTGAATAGGCTCGCTGTGATTGGTCTAAAGTTGGCTGTAGGGCTGGACTGTAATCCTGAGTGTGTGTGTCTGGACGGCGAAATATTTAGCTAACGGTATTTAAAACACCGTTTTGGTACAAATTTAGGTGCTGTACATAATTTGTCGGTTATGTTTTGTTTTCTGACGTGTCTGAGTGGAGATAAATCGAATGGCATTTGACCTGCTTGGGCGATAAGTGCGCGGTGACTGTCATCTACAGAAGTTTACAGCGAGCGATCAGCGCGTGTATTAAGAAGTGTCGCGCGAAAATACATGACGTAAGAGCGTCCAGGAATACAGTTGTGCGTGATAATTAAACGGCTTGGATCCAGTGTTGCCTGCATGAGGATTTCTGATGTAGCGCCCAGTTTTTATATAGTCATGAATTGTCTGGAGTGTTTTAGGAGGATGCAAGCATGATATTTAATCTATCAGTCGCAAGGAACAGATTTATGAACGTTTTCAACTGTTGGTAAGTCTTGCATGTTTGACTTCGAATATTTTATTGCATGTTTTATGGTTTAAAAAGTACATTTTACCCACTTGGAACAGCTTTTTGTGCACATGTACTTTTTACTGCACAAAATAAAATATCTCAATGTTGCAGGTTATGCTGTGCTGTGATTTAATTTGAGGCAATGCTTTTTTTTTTTTATAAGACAACGTAGGTGGTGTTAGAAATGTTATTCAATTCTACATTTTCAAAAGTGCAACAGAAGTTCATAAGTGTTTTGGCATAGCACTGGTGTTTCAGAATAATTCACCAATCCTTGTTCTCACTAACAGCTTTATTTATTTCATAGATTGAAGAACCAGAGAGCCTTGATAGGGACATCATGGAACTTTTTTGGATAGTTTTCTTCATTTTTGACATTATTTTCATGACAGACTGTGCTAGAGGTGAGTGCAAATATATTTGCTCTTGTGAAATTTGTTAAAAAAAAAAAAAAAACCTTGGAAGAGGGTGGACTGCTGTTAAAATTCTTATGCTTTAATAATGTTTTGATATTTGAATAATCTTGATTAATACTACATAGTTTAAAAGTAATTGTGTCACTATATGTTGATTTTATGAGCATAATATAGTTGTGTTCTAGTTACAGTCACTAAATAGTCACATGCATGTCATGTGTGCTTGTCTGTATGCTCAAGATTTTCACTAAAATGTTTAAGTAAATTTAAGCTCATTAGCTAACAAATCTGTCAGGTACCAAAGCTTTAGACTAATTCCCACTGTATGTTTAATGAATTCAGCAACATATTTGCCTTACTACGTTTTTTAAATACTCACGTTAAAACTCAAAAATTGGAAAGAATTGTTTATCTTGTTCACAAAATTAAGCTGCTTTCATTTTAAAGTCTTAATGTGACTTTATATATCTTTATTGCATCATGCATTATGTTTGGTATTTGTTTGGTGTGGTCATGCATAGAAAAGTAATCATGGTCATAGTTCAGTTGTTATTAAAAAAAGCTTGTTTAAGACTCTTTAATAAGATGTGATATTCAACAGGCTAAACTTGATTTAAAATGTATTATATTAATTGAAGGCCTAAAAAAAACACATCTAAATTTAGTCCGTCTCTTGCATCTGCCGAGTTGAAATTCAATCATCCTGGACCTTGAAGGATTCTCTTAACCTGTCTATTGAGTTCAGGTCCAGATTGAGAGCTTGAGACTTTCGGGGTCTGTCGCTGGCATTGTTTGCTGAATGCAGTCCTCTCGCATTAGCCATTCTCTGGTCTTCCTTTTGGACTGAAACGAACCATCATTTCCATTCATAATGGGCTGAATGGGGGCCGGGGCCGCTGATGGGCAGATAGTACAGCTCACTGACTCCACTCCATCAGGGCTGCATGTGAAGTGTGATGGAGTCTCCCTTTTGCGTTAGTGTTCACCTCAGACTCAACAGCCTGTCAACGGAGCTGGCGGGCGAGAGAGAGAGGCCGAGCGACGTCTGTGCAGATTGTATCTGTGAGGGGCCCTGAACAATGTGGCATTCACAGTCACATAGCCCTGGCCTTCATAGAGACGCTTAGCCAAAAGTAAATAGAAATGCAGAAAGCGATGCGATTAGATTAGCCAATTATGTTTGTTTGCTGTGCAATAGCTAAGGTGTACCTCTCAAGCCAGGGAGATTTGTGTTTGTAAGGAAGCGCAGACAATTTGCCGCCTTGATCGTATCTGAAACGTGAAGCTGCGGGTATGTTTGATATGTTGCACTTGTTACAGACTTGTTTTGCACCTGACAAAACAAAAATGTGACCCTGGACCACAAAACCAGTCATAAGGGTCAATTTTTCGAAATTGAGATGTATACATCTTCTGAAAGCTGAATAAATATGCTTTCCATTGATGTTATGATAGGACAATATTTGGCCGAGATACAACTATTTGGAAATCTGGAATCTGAGGGTGCTGAGGGTGTCAAAATATTGAGAAAATCGCCTTTAGAGTTGTCCAAATGAAGTTCTTAGCAATGCATATTACTAATCAAAAATTAAGTTTTGATATATTTACAGTTGGAAATTGACAAAATATCTTCATGGAACATGATCTTTACTTAATATCCTAACGATTTTTGGCATAAAAGAAAAATCAATAATTTTGACCCGTACAATGTATTTTTGGCTGTTGCTACAAATATACCCAAGCGACTTAAGACTGGTTTTGTGGTCCAGGGTCACAAATCGGATCTGTCCATTGAAGATTGCTCAAATGATAGTCCTGCAGCATTTCAGAATAGAATGATTTGATGAGACGCAATGAACTGGCAGTTTGAATGTTCAAAGATCTCAGTTCTCCCAAAATGTACCTCTGCTTTTATATCTAGGGTG